ATATCCCATTGTGTAGCTTTGTGCATAACTACAAACAAAAAGATAGATTAACACACATGGCTGCGTACAGCGTAGTTTCTTTCCATAAAGCGTTGACGTCATAAACGGTTTTGATATACGAACCTTTTCACAAAAATTTACGTTTATTTGTAGATATATGGATACCCAGGATCTCAATAAACAACCTCTAGGAATTTTTTAAAGTTTGCAGCCTTTTAAAAAATTACCTAGTTTGCTTTGAGTATTCTTATTTTTCACGTTTCATAATATGATTCATGATCTAAGTGTTACCTAATAACAGGAAATTTTAATTAGCCGCCTACGCCGTAGAACTAGTATCAAAGTTACAAGCAGCTATATTTTTGTCGTGCTGGTACTTAATATGGGAGATTTAAAAATAACAGGTAGAGATAAATCTAATATAAAATATGTGTTAGTTATTTCTTTTACTTACAATATATTTCATTGATAATATACAAATGTTTTTATGTCCCCAATTAATAATAATATCTGTCATTATCTTAAACTAATCTATAGTTAAAATGTGGATTTGGTATTTCTGGATTATTGGAAGGATTTTGATAAACTATAAAGTGTTACATAAAATACTTGTAAAGAAAATTATTATGATAAATATAGGAGATTAGTTAGTTCAATGGATTAAGGGTTCATTAGAAGAAATGAAGCAAAGGGTTCTAATAAATGAGAGAGCAGTCAGACTAGATAATATTAATAGATTAGATTTAGAGTTGCAAGTAGGATACTTCAGGGCTCAGCAATGAGACTTACTCTTTTTGATATTGTTAAGAGCATGGTCAAGTTTGCTCATGATATCAAATATAGAATGGTGTTGTTGTTTTACAAATGTATTTGGGTCATTTGGTGAATTTTTCAAATAAATGGTATTTTAAATATGTTAAGAGTAGGACTAATATTAAACTAAAATTAACAGAAGGAGATAAAGATGTATCATAATGACTAACTTGGTGGTTTGTAGAGCATTTATATGGCTTGTATAAACATGAAAAAACCTGCTTAGCCAGATATAACTTGACCTACATATATATAATTCAGAACTTGTATGTAAAAAATATGGATGAGAGTAATATATGACAGTTATAGTATGCCATAAGTTGTAACTGTGTTTGTATAAAGCTAAAATTGTAGATCAACTTTCAGATAATTGTAGTTGTAACAGTGAATTAAACAAGTTATCATATATGTTTGTGTATATATATATATATATTACTTTTCACCCAGCTTTAGCAGACACTAACCATACTGGTTTGGATTAATAGAAGGTTTCATTTGATGAATTTGAAGCAGTGCAACAGATAAAAGGACACTTAAATTAATCTATTTGCCACCCAAATTTGTCTGTGTACATCTTATTCTGTAGCTTTTTTTTTTCTTTTTTTTTACAGTAGTAAGGTCTTATGTTGTTGTAAAAAATAACCACAATTTATAGCACAATATGAAGATCACTTTGAAAGATTAATATTGG